AGTCACCATCAAGAACAAGTACCCTTTACCCAAGATAGATGACCTATTTAGATTAGTTGAAAGGAGCCTGTGTATTCTCGAAGATCGATTTACAGTCATACTATCATCAAATTCATGTGAAGAGTTCATACATACCAAATACTGCATTTAGAACCCGTTATGGCCATTATGAGTTTCTTGTGATGCCTTTCAGTGTGATAAATGCTCTAGCTGTTTTCACGGATTACATGAATCTAATATTTCAACCTTACTTGGACCAATTTGTGGTGATCTTTATTAATGACATTCTCATTTATTATCTCGTACTCCACAAGAGCACAAAGAACATTTGAGAATTGTCATATCGATATTGCAAGAGAAACAACTTTTTACCAAGTTAAGCAAGTGTGAGTTTTGGATGACGGAAGTTAGTTTTCTTGGTCATGTTATATCTCAAGGAGGTGCGGCGGTAGATCCATCAAAAGTCGAAGCGGTGATTATTTGGGAGAGACCAAAGAATGCTTCAGAAGTCAGAAGTTTCTAAGGATTGACAGATTACTATAGAAGGTTCATCAAGGGCTTTTCTCAATTGGATTTATCAATGACTAGACTTACCCGAAAATAGTTTCCTTATAGTTGGGATTCAGGTTGTTGAGTAGATTTTTATGAGTTTGAAGGAGAGGTTGACGACTACTCTTGTTTCGATTATTCTTGATCCTAGTAAGCCATATAAAGTATTTTGTGATGCTTCCAAGAGGGGATTAGGAGGTGTGTTAATGCAGGGTGGTCAAGTTGTAGCTTATGCTTCTCGTCAGTTGAAGGTTCATGAAGAGAATTATCCAACTCATGGTTTGGAGTTAGTGGCTGTGGTTTTTACACTGAAGGTGTGACATCATTACTTATATGGAGTGCGTTTGTAGATGTTCAATGACCATAAGAGTTTGAAGTATTTGTTTGATCAAAAGGAGTTAAACATGCATCAAAGGAGATAGATGGAGTACTTGAAAGATTTTTATTTTGAACTGAAGTACCATCTAGGTAAAGCAAACAAAGTGACAGATGCGTTAAGTCGAAAGGAAGTACATAAAATCGAGTTGATGATGTGTCAGTATGCATTGTGGGAAAAATTTTGAGATCTTAATCATCAATTTGTTTGGACTCTAGATGGTGTGTTAATGGGAAACTTGAATGTTAATTCTACTTTAAGAGATGAAATCCAATAAGGGCAAGTGCTAGATGCGAAGTTACAAGAGATCTTGGTTCAACCTGGTTTCACACGAGCCATAGATGGAATTATTCTATTTAATCAAAGGATTTGTGTTCTGGATGATGCATTGCTAAAAAGGAAGATTTTGGAAAAAGCGCTTATGCGCTTTTACTATACATCCTGATTCCTCAAATATGTATCATGTAATACCCCGTATTTCCTTAATTGCCTAATTGGATATCAGACAAGATCAACTGAGTTCCTATGTACTATATACTCATTAATTGGAATAATGAAATCTCCTAAGTGCTCTAAATGTTGTAAATTGGGATCAATAGAGTAACTAGTGAACTCTGAAGAGATCAATTAATTATTAAAGAGACAAACCAATATTAGTAAGTGTAAAAAATGATATTTTGGTAACTCTTATATTTAGTCAATTGGTGGTAGATGACAAAATATCAATTAGGGATATTTTATACCATTGGATAATATTATATATTATCTGTGTGTGTGTGTGTGTGTGTGTGTGTGTGTGTGTGTATATATATATATATATATATATATATATATATATATATATATATATATATATATATATATATATATATATATATATATATATATATATATATATATATATATATATATATATATATATATATATATATATATATATATATATATATATATATATATATATATATATATATATATATATATATATTGGTGGAAAGAATAGAAAGAAAAAGAGAAAATTGGTAAAAGAGAAAGAAGGGAAGATGAGAAAGGAAAGAAGAAGAAAACCTAGAGGAAGAAAAAGGAAGAGTTCTTGGATTCATCATCAATTCATCTTCTTCTTAATCTTCATCTTGTTCTAGAGGCGAGTTCTAATAGATAGTATAGTATTTGGGGAAAAAGTATGAGATTGTTGGTGGGTGAGGTTCTGTGTGGGAATGGATTTAAATGTTGTGTTCTTGATGATTTGATGAAGTCATGCTTAAATGTTATTCTATGTTTCTATGAGTGTTTGGATGTATTTTGGAGATTGGGTGCTTAGATATGAGAGTTTTTGGCCGTAAATGATCTATATTAGCGCTGCTGGAAATTCCGGGTTCGCGGTGTTCACACTGCAAGCCGGTGAAGTGAAGGCGAAAGTTCTCCTAAAGTTTGTCTAGAAAACTTTATGCCCTTTTTATTCTGTCTCTTGTTTTCCTAGAGTTCGCAATGCGAACATGACAAATTTTCTCATTTTGTTTCCTTAATAACTTTTGATCCGTAAGGCACGACCGAAGCGTTGAAAAGCTACTTCAATTCATTTGTAATAGTGAAGTGGGAATATAGGTTTATGACATAGATTAATAAGATAGAGATGGAAAGGTAATGAATGTGAATGATATGGACCCTTATTTCCCACCATAATTCATGAATCGGGAGTTCGATTGATATGAGACTTAAAGCCTTAGAAAGAGAATCCAATGTGCTATTATATGGTGATGTGAGCCAATGAACTAATCAACGATGTTTGGTAGAGGGTAGTAGTGGCTTCTATACCTTTATATGTATGTGAACTACAATGTTGATTATGTTTGACATGTTATCCTATTATGTGTGTTCCATGAATGATATTGCTATATACTATTTTCTATGACATGATGTATGATATATGAATGTGATTGTGTGATAACATGCTTAAAGATATTTAGTATTTAAAATAGAAACAATAACATCGTCATATTTAATCTATATTATTCTAAATTTTAAATTATTTTATTTTAAACATTACTATACAATGTAATATATAATTCCAAACACACAACCTTTGACTATTTGCGCCTACAAACTGTTATGTATTGTAGTTTAGAAAATTATGAGTATGATTGTAGCATTATTAATGTCTTAAATTTTACACACTAGTTTTTACATACTATAATTTTCATATAATTATAGATATTTATCTCATAAATTACTAATTTAATATGACTATATATGTATTTGTGTGCTTGTAATCAATATAATATTTTATTGTACATTAGATGGATAGTAAGTCTGTTTTTAATATTTATGTTATAAATGACTTTTTTTTTTTTATAGGAGAGTTATATTATGTACATTTTTTGGGGTGTATTTTTTTATGTATATTTATCACTATTTTGTGGTTAATTGAAAATGCTAATATTCTATTTATTTATTTTCTTTTTTTCCGTTAAAATATTAATATTTTAATATAAGTATTTTTTAGAATAGAATTTTAGTTTAAAATGATTGAATTAGAATAAGTGAATGTATTTTGGTTTATATTGATCTAAGTTACTAAATATTAGTATTATAAGATATTCATATTTACTTAAACTATACAATTGTTCAAGAAAATAAAAAGTAAAATACCAAACTTTTAATGAAAGGTCAAAAGTGCATCGTTACACTAAAATAGGGACAAATAGAAATTGTAGCATGAGGTTGTTTGTCACAAAAACATATATATATATATATATATATATATATATATATATATATATATATATATATATATATATATATATATATATATATATATATATATATATATATATATATATATATATATATATATATATATATATATATATATATATATATATATTAAAAATTATTCATCAGTGTCAAACAACTAAACAAAAAAATATTTTTTATTTGATTCCAATTTCTATATCTTATTTCTATCATTTAGTTACTAATTATCATACAATTATTTATATTTAACCATTATTCATAGAGTAAGAATTTAAGAATTTTACTATTGATGAGATTGAATTTTTAACTCTTCTACGTCATAAATATCCTTGGGTAAAATAATACCAAAACAACTCTATGAACATAACCTTCATTATATAACAATACAATGGTGCTATGTTGACACCATGTTTCACTTACACACCATGTTTCACTTACACCGTATGTACACCGTACAAATTTCCAAGCATTTCGTTGAGGCACAAAAATCAAAGCATGCAAAATATTATTTTAAAAAGCAAATGATACACATACAAGTATTTATATACGGTGTAAATGTAACTTTAAGTGTCAAGTTAACATTTCTCATAACAATATTAATTTATGATTAAGATTTAGGTACTTTGTCCAATTTTTGAAAATAACGTTTAGAGTGTTTTTCTATTTTTATTTATTGATATTTAATCTTATGTTTTCGATTTGAGCTTATTTTCGGATGCAGAGTTAAACGAATGGAAGATTTTTTTGTTTGTGGGTCTAAATTAACAAATAAAATGGTAGAAATAAGGTATGTAAATATTACGTGTTTGAATTAACAAATTAATAATAAATTATGAAAAATATTATAAGCTATTTTAAAAAGTTCTAAAAACACTTTAACTAAATTTATGCTAATTGAAAGTATATATATTATTCTAATTTCATTCATGGAGTAATAACACTAGTGTTTTTAGGAGATAAAAAATAATATAACTCGAGAATGAATTTTAAGATAATACCAATATTTAACTAAGATCATAGAAAATAAAAATTTTAGAAAGATAATAATATAAGTAATATATATTGAAGAAATTGAATTGCATAAACTACATGTCAATAAAATATCTCCTTATTCATCAACTTTGAATCCCAACAACAATTGACAAATGTAGTGGCTTCCATCAATATAATAAGTAAACACAATCATACTAATATATATTAGGATTAATATAATGGATGATGTTAATTTATTAGAATTTATTTAATTAATATAGTATAATAGGAATCATCCATTGTCGATGGCGTGCATAAGCCATTATGATGATCATACATGCTATTGCTCTTAACGGCTGCATGTAAAATCAATAGGCATCTGATGCCCGCATCGGTTCAAGATTAATTGCACGGGAATTTTAAGATCAACAATGATGATTCCTAAGATATTAGCCTTAAGCGCAGCGCATAGACATATAGAGGCTTCAAGATCAATGAGACCATTGATGAGGTTGCAACAAGGCTTGGTATCTTGTCCAATCACTACATTTACTACATTCAATATATTGGCACAAACACTTAATCTTCCTATTTGACAAGTAGGTGGTGTCGTAGGAGTTATCTTAGGCGGGGGTGTCAAAGACCTTTGTGGAGGTGTGGAAGGATAATTCATAGGTGGTGTTTTCGAATGACTTGGTGGTGGTGTGGAAGGAGAAATTGTGGAGGGTGTTGTCATAGGATTTGGAGGGAGTGTAGATGGAGGTATTGTAGGTGGTGGTGTATTAGGACAAGGTGATTCAATCGTCATACTTGGCGGAGGTATGGAAGATGACATATGTCTTGGTGTGAGTTTTGATGGAGGATATGGTGTTTTTGAATGAGGGGGTGGCGTGTTAGGAATCCCCATGGAAGAGACAAGAGTTGAAGCAAAAGTAAGACTAAGACAGAGAATGATAATGGACACAATAGTATTGTTTGATCTCATTGTGCAAGTAAGAGAGAAACTCTTGATTGCAGTTTTTAATAAGAAAGGTAATTAATTGATGAATAATTTTGAGAAGTAAGATCCAATATTTATACCCAAAATTTTCACGGTAGGTGCATATATTTTGGTTAGATCAGATAGAATAATTTGAAGTTATTAGATAATCAATTTCTAACAAACTAACTTTTAATTCATCTTTCTTAACAATAAAATAATATTTGACTTTGAGTAAATTGAAATTATGTCTTTCATTGCTACAAGTGTAGTATGTGACCATTCTGAAGGGGCTCAAAAACAATACTAAAAATAATCCATTAAGAAGAATAAAACAAAACAAAACAAGTAAATTTTTTCATCTTGTTTGGAATTGAATTGATATGTTTTATAACTAGTTACAATTGCAAATAAATACACTCGAGTATCTTGAAAAAACACCATGCAAGAAGAAATAAACGTTTGATATTTTACTTGAGAAACATTTAAATGAGCTAAATAGTTAGTCATAATAAACTTAAAAGAAGTGGCACTTATTCCTGTTAAAAATATTGTTTGAATTTTATTAGTAAAAATATAATAGATAGATAGATAACAATACATAAGATTGATACCAAAAAAATATATAATTAAAATTAACAAATGTGATCATAAGAACCTATAATAAATGATGAATTACAATATAACTATGATAATATTTTTTATTTTATTAATGCATTCAACATTTAAGACACAATTTAAAAGTATTCTATCGAAAGTTTTATTTCCTAACATTCTATTTTAATATAATAAAATTTTGAAAATTTCAAATAAACCATTTGATAGCTAACATATAATATATATTTGATTTGATTATTAGTATTTTTTTGTTTAATTACTACTCCTCACTATATTTATTTATATGTTATTGTTCTTATTTGATATTTATTTATATTTTTTATTTATGTATAATATAAAATAAAAATCATTTATAATTTCAATATGTTATTGTTCTTATTTGAAGTTTATTAATATTTTTTATTTTTGAGATTTATTTCAGTTTAATTTTCAAACTTTTAAATATGTTTAGTCTTTAAAATAGAAGCAATAACATCGTGATATTTAATCTATATTATTCTAAGTCTTAAATTATTTTAAACATTACTATAAAATGCAATATTTAATTTCAAACACATAACATTTGCCTATTTGTGCCTGTAAACTGGTATGTATTGTAGTTTGCTAAATTATGAGTTTGATTGTAGCATTATTAATGTCTTGAATGTTACACACTAGTTTTTACATACTATAATTTTCATATAATTATAGATATTTATCTCATAAATTACTAATTATAGTTAATGAGACTTTATATGTATGTGTGTGATTGTAATCAATATAATATTTTATTATACATTAGATGAATAGTAAGTGTATGCATACTTATTTAACAATTCATAGTTATCATTTTGCTTTTAATATTTATGTTTTAAATAATTTTTTTGATAGGAGAGTTATATTACGTATATTTTTTTGATTTATATTTTATGTATATTTATCACGATTTGGTTGTTAACTGAAAATGCTAATATTCTATTTATTTATTTGATTTGATTTTTTATTTTTCTTTAAAATATTAATATTTTAATATAAGTAATTTATAGAATAAAATTTTAATTTAGAATAATTAAATTAGAATAAGTGAATGTATTTTGGATTATATTGATCTAAGTTAGTAAAAGTTAGTAAAGATTAGTATTATAAGAGATTCATGTTTACTTAGACTATACAATTGATCAAAAACACAAAAAGTAAAATACCAAATTTTTAATGAAAAGTCAAAAGTGTATCATTACACTAAAATAGGAACAAATAGAAATTGAAGCGTAAGGTTATTTGCCACAAAAGCAAAAAAATAAAAATAAAATTATTCATTTAGTTACTATTTCTCATACAATTATTTATATTTAACCATTATTCATAGAATAAAATTTTAAGAATTTTACTATTGATGAGATTGAATTTTTATTTTCATTCTTCTACATCATAAATATGTTTGGGTAAAATAATGCCAAAACAACTCTATGAACATAACCTTCATTATATAACAATATTAATCTATGATTAAGATTTAGTTACTTTGTCCAATTTTTAAAAATAACTTTTAGAGTGTTTTTCCATTTTTAATTATTGATATTTAATCTTATGTTTTTGATTTGAGTTTATTTCCGGATGCAGAGTTAAAAGAAGGGAAGGTTTTTTGCTCGTGGGTCTAGATTAACAAATAAAATGGTAGAAATAAGGTATGCAAATATTACGTGTTTGAATAATAAATTAATAATAAATTATGAAAAATATTATAAGCTATTTTAAAAAGTTCTAAAAACACTTTATCTAAATTTATGCTAATTGAAAGTATATACATTATTCTAATTTCATTCATGGAGTAATAACATTAGTGTTTTTAGGAGATAAAAAATAATATAACTCGAGAATGAATTTTAAGATAATACCAATATTTAATTAAGATCATACAAAATAAAATTTTTAGAAAGATAATAATATAAGTAATATATATTGAAGAAATTGAATTGCATAAACTACATGTCAATAAAATATCTCCTTATTCATCAACTTTGAATCCCAACAACAATTGACAAATGTAGTTGCTTCCATCAATATACAATTAAACACAATCATACTAATATATATTTTAGGATTAATATAATGGATGATGTTAATTTAGTAGAATTTATTTAATTAATATAGTATAATAGAAATCATCCATTGTTAATGGCGTGCATAAGCCATTATGACAATCATACATGCTATTGCTCTTAACGACTGCATGTAAAATCACTAGGCATCTGATGCCCACATCGGTTTAAGATTAATTGCACGGGAATTTTAAGATCAACAATGATGATTCCCAAGATATTAGCCTTAAGTGCAGCGCATAGACATATAGAGGCTTCAAGATCAATGAGACCGTTGATGAGGTTGCAACAAGGCTTGGTATTTTGTCCAATCACTACATTCACTACATTTAATATATTGGCACAAACACGCAATCTTCCTATTTAACAAGTAGGTGGTGTCGTAGGAGTTATCTTAGGTGGGGGTGTCAAAGATCTTGTTGGAGGCGTGGAAAGATAAATCATAGAGGGTGTTTTCGAATGACTTGATGGTGGTATGGAAGGAGAGACCATATGAGGTGTTTTCATAGGACTCGGTGGAGATGTGGAAGGAGAAATTATGGAGGGTGTTGTCATAGGATTTGGAGGGAGTGTAGATGGAGGTATAGAAAGTGGCATATAACTTGGTGGGAGTTTTGATGGAAGATATGGTGTTTTTGGATGAGGGGGTGGTGTGTTAGGAATCCACATGGAAGAGACAATAGTTGAAGCAAAAATAATACTAAGACAAAGAATGGTAATCGACACAATAGTATTGTTAGATCTCATTGTGCAAGTAAGAGAGAAACACTTGATTGCCGTTTTTAATAAGAAAGATAATTAATTGATGAATAATTTTGAGAAGCAAGGTCCAATATTTATACCTAAACTTTTCATTGTAGGTGCATATATTTTGGTTAGATTAGATAGAATAATTTGAAGTTATTAGGTAATAAATTTCTAACAAACTAACTTTTAATTCATCTTTCCTAACAATAAAATAATCTTTGACTTTGAGTGAATTTAAGTTATGTCTTTCATTGCTACAAGTGTAGTATGGAACCATTCTGAAGGGGCTCAAAAACAATATTAAAAATAATTCATTTAGAAGAATAACTCAAAACAAAACAAGTAATTTTTTTCATCTTGCTTGGTATTGAATTGATATGTTTTATAACTAGTTACAATTGAAAATAAATACACTCGAGTATCTTGAAAAAACACCATGCAAAAAGAAATAAACATTGATATTTTACTTGAGAAACATTTGAATGAACTCAATAGTTAGTCATAATAAACTTAAAAGAAGTGGCACTTATTACTGTAAAAAATATTGTTTGAATTTTATTAGTAAAAATATAATAGATAGATAAATAACAATAGAAAAAATTGGTACCAAAAAAAAGTAATTACAATTAACAAATGTGATTACAAGAACCTATAATAAAAGATGAATTGCAATATAACTATCATAACATTTTTCATTTTATTAATGCATTCAACATTTAAGACACAATTTAAAAGCATTCTATCGAAAGTTTCATTTTCCAACATTCTATTTTAATATAATACAATTTTGAAATTTTCAAATCAACCAAATAATAGCTAACATATAATATATATTTGATTTAATTATTAGTATCTTTTTATTTAATTACTACTCCTCACTCTTCATACAAATGTGATAAAGAAATTACATTGTAGACGAAAAAACAAGAAGGTAAATAAAAGGTTGATGCACGCCTTAATTCAATTGAAAAGAACACACATGAGTTGTTATAAAAAGAATCAATCAATCAATTAGGTTTCGAAAAATACCATTAAAGACAAGAGTCACAAAAGAGTCTCGTAAAAAAAAGTAGACCTAAAAAAGAGCAAGTATTGATCGTATAACAAATTATTGTAAAAACAATATGCCAAAATGATTATATCATTTATTTTACTAAGTTAATTCTTTAATGGGTTTGTTTCTCTTTATTTTTGTAAACTTCTATTATATACATTTCGTTACAAAAACTTGTAACTCAATATGTAAAAAAATCATTTTTGCACTCATAAAGAGTTATGTTTGAATATTTTTTCATTAAAAATATCTCGTTTGCAACTTATTTGTATCAAGTTTATAAATATATAAAATGCATAATATTTTAAGAGTAATAAATATTCTTTAATTTTGTATGTTTATCATTCTTCATTCTATTTTGTGCAATATAAGTGTAGTTTTGTATTAGTCATTTTATCATAATTTATTTCTTATTTTTTTAGGTCAAATAAACAAAACCCTAATTAAAATTAATTATCAAATATTTGAACTTTTGGTTAGGTATTGATCTCTCAGTTTGACATTCTCTT